ATTAATTCCTTTGAGTTGCGTATTACAAATCCTAATAATCTGTTGACAGCATTAATAAGGTACTCAATATGCGGATTGAAGCTAAGTGGCATGTCAAAAATCACACCCAGGACCTTGCATTCTTTTACTCTCAGCAGAGAATGATTGCCAATTTTGTGGTCAAATGCAGTAATATCTAGCTTTCTGATGTAAGTCATAACACTACATTTACTGTAGTTGATTGGAAGTCGATTTACAGCAGACCATTTAACTATCTTGGCTGGATCTTTTTGTAAGCGACATTGGAAAAAAAAATTCAGATCATCAGTACAGATTAAGTGCCTGCTGTCGATCTGACTAGCAATATCGGACAGTATGCAGCAAAGGACCTAAGCAGGAGCCTTGAGGTACCCCTGAGGTTGGGAAGAATTCAATGGATTTGACACCCTCATATTCAACATATTGCTTTCTTCCTGATAGATATGACTTAAGAAAGAATAACAACAGTTTGTATGTGATCAAACCTTTATCCTTTTTAAACTATTTGTGTAGTATATTTTTGCTTTTAATGTCCCTAATCATTTCATTGTTAAACCAAACTGGAAATTTGAGAGATGTGAGTCTTGTCCTAGGGACACACACATAAAAAATTTTATGAAAAATGTTATAAAATGTTTCCAAAGCTACGTTTACATCTGTTAAATTGTCAAGAAACGTCCAATTAACAAAGCTTATTTGTTCATATAGTGTTCAAAATTGGCTTTTCTGAAAGTATAAAACTCTGTGACGCGATTGATACTGTTTTTAGAATGGAAGCTCATGTTGATTCTCATGACAAGCGGAGGATGGTGAACATAAATGACTGGGTTGTTTTCTGCTTGTGAGAAGACTGGAGTTGATTTTCATTAACAAATTCGGGAACATTAAAGTTACCTAGAATATAAATACTTTTGCCAAAGAGGTAATCAAGCGACTCTAGATGTTCAAAGAATCTTTCATAGCAGGAAGTACTCGTGTCAGGCGGTATGTATATCACAAAGAAATAAGTTTTATTTTATATCTAAGTTTGATTCCAATTATGTCAATACTGGGAATACCGTCTGTAATAAAAGTCATATCTACCTCTGATGTAGCAAGTTGATTACGAATACCAATTAAGATACCACCTCCTCTAATACAACGTATTTGTCAGTAAATAATTCAGAACTAAGTACTGCAGCCTGCAGTCAAGTTTCAGTACAACAGATGATATCATAGTCAGACACAGCGACATTTACAAAGGATTCTTTACACTTAAACTGCTGAGTGTTGCCTGAGTATATAAAAAACCTCCGAACCATCAAAGAACTAAGTTTAATTTCATTTTAAAGATATCGGACAGAAAATGAGACTCTGTACTTTTTGATAGCAACTGAAATGCAAACCATTAGCTTGAAAAATATCTGTTATTGTAAATGCTGGTGACGATGATACTGTAAATTCAGAAAATAACACCCAGTTGGGAGAATACTTTTAACTAGTTTTGTTTTACATGAAGCACACAAACATTGCGTCTTCAAGACGTATGCATAGATATATTCGTACGTCCTTGTTGCGCCTTTTGTGAGTGGAATCGCTCGAATAACCGAAGTTGAAGCTATGCTGCCTCCAACTCTCCATCCTTTAGAACAATCGAGCTGGTTTAATTCAATTCAACTGCAGACAAACTGTGCGGAACTATGAATAATAATAAAATTTAGTGTTTGCTCTTCTCATCTAGCTTGTACGTGGGACTTCGTTAGGAAAATTTGCAGTTCGTTATATTGAATTTGAGCTCCCGAAGGGCGTTCGCACAGTTACATCGGACAGTAGACGATCAGCAATTAAAATTTGATTTCGGTTAGGCAGCCCACTTTGTGCACCTTGACAAATTAGAGGAGAGGCGTCCAATAAAACTATATTCTGACGGTTTCCTATTGTCATCGAGGATAGTAATAGTAATGACAGTATACGTAGTCGTGCCATAAGTTCTGTCCCATGATAATCTCATGATAAAAATGAAACAAGATAAGATATATTTATATGAAAGATATTATTTATTCGACAACATTTTTAGAATTCATAATCAAACAGTTTTATTCAAAATGTCCCCCCTTGGCCTTCACACACTGCTTCAATCTCGCGGGCCACTCATCTATCACTGCACGCACAGCTTCCAAAGGAATAGCTGCCGCTGATCGGATCAAATCCGCTTTCAGGGACTCGATATTACGGTGGGCTTTGGAGCAGGCCAACTGCTCTAGCAGGTCCCACAACTTGTAGTCTAAAGGATTGAGGTCCGGACTCCCTGAGGGCCAATCTTCCTCAGCAATGAACTCTGGCACATTGCTTTCCAGCCAGCGCTGCGTACTCTTAGCCTTGTGAGCGGGGGCGGAATCCTGCTGGTAGACCCAGTGTTGGTTGGCAAACAATGTACCACTTAAAGGCTTGACGACAGGATCCAGTATGTCGCTCTGATAGTTTGCCGCTTTTGTTTTCACGCCCTGTTTACAGAAATGGAGCTGAGTGACCCCTTCGTAGGACACCCCCCACCAAACCATGACTGACGCAGGGTGGTGGCCTCTCTCAACTCTCGGAATGATCTCCGAAGCTTCCTGTGAACTCCTTGCATACACTTTGTCATTTTGTCGGTTGAATTTTTCTTCTATGGTGAAGATTTTCTCATCCGTGAACAAAATCTTTCGGAATCCCCCAGCTGCGTACCTCTCCAAGAGCTTCTTGGATCTTGTCGCCCTGATGTGTCGCAAGGTGGCCGTAAGTCGCTGGCCCGTACGTCTCCGGTAAGCCCCTAGCCCTAGGTCTTGTTTAATGATGCGCGACATCGTCCGGACAGGAATCTTCATTTCCCTGGATAGGATCTTCTGCTTCCGGAGTGGATTCCTTTGAATCCTGGCTTTTACGGCTTTGATGGCTGCTGGAGTCCTTACTTGACGAGGTCTTCCGCTTCTTGGCCTGTCATCAACAGAGGACGTCTCATTGTACCGCTGAATGGTCCTAGACACAAATTTACGCGATATTTGAAGGCCGCGTAAGAGTTCAAAAATCTGACTAGCACTGTGATTACACTTATGTAAAGCTATCACTGCAATACGGTTCTCTGCCTTGCCCCACTCCATCGTTATGCTTCGAGAGATCAATACAAACTGAGGTATATGTAATTACCCGAAAAGCGCTTAATCAACTGACACCACAATGTAAACAATCGGACAAGTATTAACAGGTCTACACTTGTTTGAAAACGAGGGACAGAACTTATGGCATGAGTACGTATATTAACTATTAGACATGAACAAAAAAATTTACAGTATGGATATACATAAAAAAACAAACAATAAAATAACGAGCAACAACATTAAATAAGATATCTAAAAATGTACACCATAGACAAACAACAGCAAATAAAATGGATTAGCTTTCCAGCAGTTTAAATTAATATATTAACAATAATACAATATAAAAATATATAAAATGACAAAGAATAAGTGGTTTACAGACAATACAAGAAAAAAAGGATATCTACTCGTAAATATCCACAAAGACGCCGATGGCGTAGCAAGTCTTATTAACCTTCATAAACCCGAGCGAGGTGCAGTTGCACCCCAGACATCAATTTTTGGTGTTATTTTCTAAGATATTTTTTTTAATTTAATTTCCTTTGAGTTATGTTTCTCAAATATGTTTCTAATATAGTATAAAAAATTTTAAACAATTTGAGATTTATTGTAACAAGTTAAGTTGTTCCTTGGGGTGCAGTTGCACCCCGCTCGGTATGTAACTATAGGTAAACATTTTGCATACGCTGAATACTAACTGGGGTATAAATAAACCCCAAATTTTTCAAACGACGGAGATTCCCCGTATCGTGACGGCAACACAGTCGGGGAATCCCAATAGCGGCTATGTATAACGTGTCCACGCAATTATCGCATTATAATCTTAGGTTTCGTGTGTGTCGTTACGTTTGTAGTGATTGTCGCCTACGCGCTTATAAAAATGAGTGAACCACCGAAATTTCGAAATGAAAATAAGCTAACAGACGAAGAACTATTGGCGATATTAGAAACGGATATTTACGACCATTATTTTAATGATTCGATACTAGAAAATGGTTCAAGTGATATCGAATAGACTGATATAGTGACTGAAACTAATGAGATAGATGATGTTTTGCAAGTTAGTGATAGTGAGAATGATTTGGCAGATTCTTCAGCTGTAGTTGGCCAATCAATAACTTATACAGAAAATCCAACTTATACTTCTAAAGATGGTAGTGTATGGGCAAAAGTTCCACTTACTGCGAGGACAAAGAGAAGAAAATGTAATATATAAACTGGTCCAACAGGTTTGACGAGATATAGCTCCCAATTTTCCAGCATAAAAGAATCCTTTGAACTATTTCTTTCACAAGATATTATGACTGTGATTTTATCGGAGACGAATAGAAAAGCCGAATCATATTATGCAAGAAATGGGAAGGCTTTTTCTCCTTTTGTGCAAGAGGAACTGGAAGCATTTATTGGTTTGCTTATTATTTTTGCAGCCTGGCATGCTGCTAAAGAGCCAATATGCGTATTATGGAGCCAAGACCCAACTTTATGTCGACCTTTGGTATCATCTACTATGTCTCACAACAGATTCCAACAAATTATGTGCTTTCTAAGATTCGACAATTTTAAAACAAGAGAAGAAAGAAAACGCACTGATAAATTTGCCGCAATCAGAGATGTCTTTGATGTTTTTGTATCTAATTGCAAGAAATCTTTAAATCCATCTGAGCACTTGTGCGTGGATGAGCAGTTAGTTCCGTTCCGAGGCAGGGCTCCTTTTCGGGTTTACATGAAGAGTAAGCCGGACAAATATGGATTAAAAATTTGGGCCTTGGCTGATTGTACTCGTAGTTTGTCGTATACAGTGAAAATGCAAATTTATTTAGGTAAGCTATGTCCTAGAACATGCAGATATTATAGATTTTAAAATTTTAGGCAAAGAAGGAAACAAACCAGAGAAAGGTCAAGGTCAAAGGGTAGTGTTAGACCTGGTAAACCATTTATCTACAGGATATGGGATAACTACTGATAACTTTTTTACCAGTATTGAGTTGGCCAATAAGCTCTTAGATAAAAACATTACCTTGTGTGGAACACTGCGTAAAAATAAACCTTATATTCCAAAAGAACTACTTCCAGCAAAATACAAGAAAGATTTTTCAAGCATGTTTGCTTTTATGGAAAATAAAACATTAGTTTCTTACGTACCAAAGAAAAATGCGGCAGTTATCCTTTTATCAACAGAACATAACGATGACAGAATAAGTGGAGTGGAATGTGACTATAAACCGGACATCATTTTACACTACAACAAAACTAAGGGTACAGTAGATACAACAGATAAATTGGCAAAGGAATTTACCACTCAAAGAAAAAGTAATCGATGGCCGATGGTAATATTTTTTCATCTGCTGGATATTGGTGGCATCAACGCCTATAAACTATGGATGTTGAAAAATCCAGATTGGAAAAAAAATCGTTTAGATAGGAGAAGAATGTTTCTGTTGGAGTTGGGCCAAGAATTAATTAAGAAGAATATAATTCATAGATACCATAATGACAAGTCGTTACATTCCAATATAAAACAATCCATATTAACAATTTTGCCAGAATTAAATATTGTAAGGAATGAACCACCTGCTCCCGCTATTCGGAGACAGCAGCGTTGTTTTTTATGCGACAGAAGTAAAGACAGGAAATCTCGAAAGTTTTGTATTCGGTGTAATCAGTACGTATGTGCAGAACATTCTAAAAATATAACCGTTTGTAATAAGTGTGATAATTAAATTATTATTTAAAATGTCACATATTTATCTTCTTCTTAATTATCTTTCTTTATATTATAATCATTTCAAATTATTTTTTCCAAATGTGTTTATTTATCAATGTTATAGCATACTTATGTAAAAATATATATTTTTTATAATCATAATGTGTTTATTTTTTGAAAATCTTTAATTACAGTAATTAAATAAGCCAGAAAAACGTTGGGGTACATTTGCACCCCACTCGGTATTTAACGTAAATTTCTGACCACGGGTTTATGAAGGTTAATAAAGTAGGTTTTCACTTTTCATATATCAAGGCTAAATCTTAACCGCCTGTGGTGTCGATTATAACAAATATTCAAACAATGGGTGGCCGATGAAGATCACCTTGAAACAGATTCAAATGAAGATAAAGATGTTTTGCTCATTATAGGCGAATCATCGTTGTTCCTCCAAAATCTGATGTACAAGAGTTTCATAATAAGAAACTAGTAATTTCGTAGATATTTACTAAGAATCGGTGTGAATGGATTCGAAACCGTTTTTATAAGTTCAAAAGAGAGTTTATGTCATTCTGTAAACACATAGGAGTTTCTGTCAAAAGAACGACGAAATGGTTTGTTAACAATAACTAACTATGTACTTATAATTTTATAGTAATTCAACTTTGTAAATAGCAAATAAAACAAAAATAATTTAATATCAAGACCTCACGCTTTTTTACTATAATTGAATTTTAAATTAATGTCTTATATTTTATATTGGTCTTATTCCAAATTAATTACTCATACTTGATTTTATATTGCATTATGATAATCTCACCTATACCTTAAAATTCGTTTTCACCTTTGACTTCGGTTTGCTACTAAATCGTGTTTTCTTTTTTCATTTTCAAATCTATAGTTTTATTTTTATATCTTTCAACAGCTGACCCGACAGACGTTGTCCTCTCTTGGCTATGAACTGGGATGAATAATGAATAATCAAAGGGTAAATATATGGAATGTATGTAATTGTATAGCGAAGTGTTTGTACCGCCTTGTGGCTAGCAAAATATACTAAGTGACATATAAATCCGAACACCCAGTTTAAATGTTTTATTCTAATAAAATTTTGTATAAGTACTTAATGAAGCATAATAAGTAAATGATAAAAATTTCAAAATGATTGCACTGCTTTAAAGCCCTTTGACCTTTAATAATGTGTGGATGCTCCCTGATGTGCTACGCATTCTCCAACGCGCCTAGGCATGCTTCTGCTCAGGTGCTCAATGTCCTCCTGTGGTATCTCATTCCAGGCAACCACCAACTCCTCTCGAAGTGCTTCTAGAGTCTGAGGAGGACGTTGCAAATTGAGCAATCTCCTACCCATCATATCTCACACGTGCTCAATTGGGGATAAGTCGGGAGATCTTGGTGGCCATGGTAACAATGTGACATCATTATGTTCAAAGAAGTCTATTGTGACTCTTGCAACATGCGGTCGTGCATTATCTTGTTGGAAAGTTGGATCTGCCAGGGTGTCAAGATAGGGTAAAAGATGGGGTTCTAGAACTTCGTGGATATAACGCTGCGCGTTCATGTTACCTCTGATGAAGATTAAAGGTGACCTGGAACCATAAGCTATAGCACCCTAAACCATAACTCCAACAGTGTGATGAACATGTTTTTCAACAAAAAACTGTGGATTTCTCCTTTTACCACGTCGCCTTCTAACCCTGGCACGACCATCGTGCATGCCTAAACAAAATCGAGACTCGTCACTAAAGACAATACTGTTCCATTCCTGATCCCAGAGTGACCGTTGTCTGCACCACTCAAGGCGATTACGTCGGTGTTCTCGAGTTAAAGGGAGGACCCAGTGTGGCCGGTATGAAAACAAGCCAAAACTTCTCATTCGTCGGTAAACACTTCTCATGCCAATAGGTCTACCGTGTTCTGCAAACCATTCATTTGCAATGAACCTGGTAGTGGAGAAACGGTCCGTTAAGGCCAATAATCTTAGGCGGCGATCTTCACGGTCTGTTGTTCTACGGCGGCGTCCAGTGCCCCTTGCTCTTTGCGTACGGCCTTCTCGAAGCCATGTCTAACAACACCTAACCACTTCTTTGCACTCTAACTGCGGCTGAAATATTCATTTTTTCAGCGTTAGTGAATGAAAAAAGAGCAGTATAAAAACCGGAATGTCCAACTGATAAGGCTGAAAATTTTTTCACTTGTTATTTACAGTAAGATAAATACATTCACCAACTTTTATTAAAATAAAACCATTTAAACTGGGTGTTCGGATTTATATGTCACTTAGTATACGTTGGCAGCACTGCAATTCCCCCATCAACTTTCCTTGAAAGTAGACATAAAAGTTATTTCGAATGAATTTTGTTGCGCCAAATGACATAATTCGAAAGCAATTAACGTATTGCTGGATATGAGTCATAAAATGTATAGAATCTGGCCCATTTCTGAAAACTAATGAACGTAGTGGCTTTGGTGGTGGTACCAATGCAGTCAGTTTGATTTTTCAACTGACACAACAGAATCCAGGGGTTTCATTTTTAAACTTCTACGCTGCTGAATTTCAGTCCTCTGATCCCATTCAACTCCATTTCTTGCTTCTCGTTGCTCGTCAGTTTGACTTCTTCGTATATATCTTCGACTTGTAGCATTGCGAGTTCTGCGAACTAGGCTGGAACGTCTAATCGGTGGCATTTTGAAGATGCGGTGGACTAACTTCCACCATTCTTAGTTATTTTTGAACAAATACCTCTCAAAAAACTCACTGAACAAACTAAAAACTGGATAAAAGCTCTAATCGAATGGATTGTGCACAATACTTAAATAAAACAATATTTTCATAAATCAACACTGTTAAGCGATAATATAAATTTGTGGCGTGCGAGCTGTCAAGTTCAAAATGATAGAGTAGTGAAAGTCAATTAATCAAAAGAAACGTATTTTCCATCACAAATTACGGATGGTGAAGAAATGTAAGTCAAAAAACGGAAGCACCGTGTTTTCATAATCAATTTTCTCTCATAGAGCAAGCTGTCAATAGGTGTTGGAATCAAGATAGCGGAGGAGAGTGCCTGTCTCTTCTGGTACTTGAAATATTAATTCTGCTGTGGGTGCTCCATGATTGAATAATCGTTTGGTGTCCAAATGATTTCTGTAAGAACCTTCTACACAGTATTAGGGAACTTTTAACAAAAACATGAATGATGTCGGTAGAGTCATTCTCAAGTTTTGGCGTGACCACGTGAAATAGGGATTCATCTTTATATACAAGATATGTTGCCGAAATGGCCGTTCGGGTTTAAAAAAAATAAATTTATTTTACAATACTGACTACAATTATATCTTCAAATATTTTACAATACATGTACAATACGACGAACAAACGAGGAATCTGCGGAAACCATGAAGAACATCTATTAATCATCTCGTGCTTAGATGCTTTCCTCAGCATTTTCTTTTTCCACGTGCATCCTTCTCTGCACCATAACTCCTCCCCACCTAGTCTGAAAACTGAATAGGGACGTTTTCTGCTTTCAGGAGGTTTTCTTCTTTATGTCTCTTCCTTGGGCCTCTCTTCACTGGATTCGGGATTTTCTTCATTTTTCTTGTCTTGGGGTAGGTCAATTTTCTTTTGGATTTGTGTTCTCCAAATAAACCAAAAGGTTGCAGCTTCTTTAGCAAGCAGAAAAATAGTACAAACTGAGCTGCTAGAAAACCAAATTAAGAGATTAATAGCGGCTTCTTCTTGTATTTGAAGAAAATTTGCTTTATCTTGCATTTCCTTGACCTTGTCGAGGTCAATAGTCTTGAGGATTAAAGCTTTTTTGGACACAAAGTTCGATCTTGCATTCCAAAATTTTATTTCTGGAAGGACCAAAGTGTTTCCTTTGATTTGATCCTACTGACTGCGCTATGACAGCCATTGCCCAGGGCGAATGTAAAAAATAAGCTATCAATGTAAGTTTGCTTCAACCTTACGTTCCAAGTAGACTGCGTCTTCAGATGTTCCACTATTTGATATCATAATGACCAATCTAAAGCTATGAGCATAAGCATAACCAAGTCATCGTATACAACTGATAACAAAGGACGAGGCTATCCCGAAACACGCAGATGCCAATCTGATATGGATGTGCCCGCTAGGGCTGACCATTGTTATTGGAGGCGGGCCAATACCCGGAATTACACAGCCACTAAACGTTTCTACTAGCTTAATCGTACTCAGAATTATGTTTGGGTGCATTGAACTTGGAAGCACAGCTTTACACTATGTCCAAATCGGTCGACTTTTATTCCGCACAATTCATTTTACTAACCACGCCATAGGCGAGGCAAGTATATCACGCTCTTTAATGTACAGGGTGCTTCACTTAAGGATCGACACA